TTTGAGTAAACTGTTGCTAAATTAGCTCTGGATAATTTATATTTTTCTTTTCACATTAAAATTTTTTAAGGCAGTAAATGATGTTGCAGCTGTTTGTACATCCTTGTCTCAGGAGAGTTTTTTTTTATCAGTTGTTACCTGAAGGCAAACAAGAAAAGATGTGTATTGAACAACTTTGTCTCCCAACATAAAAGGCTTCAAGGTGCCATCATAAGGGTGTGTTCTCAAAATTAGTGCTTGCTCATAATTGTACAATAACTAGCGCAGTTTTAATAATGTTTACCAAACACATTTTAGAGGTCAACTGAGCAGCCTTTACCACTCAATGAGTATAGTAATTTTTCACCTGAGGTCCTCTGCTCCTTATAGAAATAAAAAGAGGAAAAACCTATGCTCCCTAACAATGATTTCAACTTCCCTTTCCAATTAAAAAAAGATGAAAAAAGGAAAAATTTAAGAGATCTTAATGTTGCATACTCAAGAAGTATCTAATTTCTTACAACAGTGTGTTGGTTTTAGTGCGAAGGCGATCTCTCGATTTTGGCAGATTGAAGTTGCACAAATCCCCTTTGAACGATAGTCTACCCGCACTGGCCCTCAAAGGTCGAAGATAGGGGATTTTTCAATACAGTCTAACCCCACCCCCATTAGGAAGTAAAAAATTTTGATTATCAGTTAAACATGAACTATTTGCATAACACTCCTTTGAATACTCCTACGTTTTCAAATTTGCTCTGCCACTCTTCACCGTTTGTTCAATAGTATACTAAATAGAACTGCACCTTTTTTTTCCCGTTTTTAAGTTCCCTCTTGCGTCTGTTCCAACCACTATAGTTCCTTCAGGTCGTTGGCCGACCTTATGTTTTTCATTAAGAATTAGTATATCATCTTTCCTTGAATATTGGTGTTATGTTCCTTTGAAGACTTCCCACACGCGACGCGTGGCAGACGCATAACGCCCTTCAAGATATTTTCCTCCCTCTGTGAAGAGAGCTACGGAGCCTGGCACGATACGACCTGAAAAGAAAGGAACATAAAACATAAGGCGAAACAAATGAACAAAAATTCAAGGTAAAAAAATTGAAGTGATACTAGAGTATAACTCAGAACAGTTTCTCATATAAGGGCTTTACATGATACATTAAATAACAATTAATGCTCAATGTTCACTGTGATTTGGAAAAAAAGACGTTTTAATTCCTACATTCGAGTCATAAAACCATTCCATTTTAATTTGTAGATGCCTATCTAAACAGTGCTGGAGAGAGAACTAAAGGATCGATCCAATTCATCTATGAACCAAGTAGTATAACCTTGATGTGCTACGTCACATCCATATAATGTCGGAGTTAAACAACAACAGATTCTCCGTTTTATGAAAAGCCAAACTTGTAAGCAATAAGTAAAGAGCTTATATTACTTTTGTAAGAGAATGTGACTATGCTATGTGAATACCAATTTTCATATTTCACTTAATCACTCATCTACAAGCGAGAGCCAAAGATGATGGGAGATGAGAGAAATGTTACAGAAGTCGACAGGCTCTTCCCTGAAAGTTCTGCCAATCTGTTTCCATTTAGTATTGGAAAAAAAGCGCCTATACATATTCTGATATGTTGAACATTTTCTATATCTCGCCTTATCTGAATAGTTGTCACCGTAATAATTGAAACTTTGGAAACTTTATCTCAAAAGTACTCGTCCTTTCGTTGATTTAACACGATATCTCTCATGGAGGTACTCAAAGGTTCATCTTAAACCTAAAAATAAAATGATTAGTTCGTCAATAGCTACAAATTCAACCATGCGAGTTTCCGCCTGTGTCTAATTTCAATTCCATTTCACTTCGAAAGAGCCTTTTCTTCATTTCAAACGTTTCCTTCATTTCATTTAGTTTTTACATGAGGCATGACCTTTTCTCGATTCTTTATGTCAGCTGAGCTCTAGACTCCGTGTCTGTGTTCTTTGAAAATTGCCTCTCATAGCCTGATCATCTGAGTGTGTGTGTTTATATGGTGTACTGTATTTATTCTCTGGAGTTCAAATGTAGGGTCCTTTATCTATCTTAGAGAAGGTTCCCCTACATCAAGTTTTTTTTTTTAATTAAAACTTGTTAGTACATGCATTTGTTCATAAGGAGAGGACTGACTGTTCCGGCGCATATGTAAATTAATTCATTTGTGAACATGCAAATGTAGATCAGAATTAAATTGGTAGCTTTGGCACTGGTGTGGACCGAGATAGATAGATCAACAGCAACAGATCTGATTGACTACATATTTCCTCCAAAATAATGAGCTTTCTGGGCAACAGCTAGAAGTAAAAAACAGTGAAGGTATTTTTGGGGTTTTTCCCTGTCATTTTAAGGATAGAATTGTTTTTATTAACATGTCAAATTGCTAAAAAGAGTTGGTTTTGTTAGGAGACTGGAACTTGATAACTGGAAAGTTTTGTTGGTGGAAATTCTGTGAAACATCAAATATAACATTCTTCACTTCACTGAAACCTTCAGTCAATTGATTCAGTGATCACACTCATAGGAAATACTTGTTTGAGTTTTCTGGATTACTGAATTCAATCAGAATTAATGTAAGGAATGAGTTTGAAAGATAGAGATTGATTGATTACTGAGGGTTTGACTGTCTACACAGAGCAGGCCACTGATGACATAATGACAAGGCTTGACCTGCTTGCTAGTCAAGCCTTTACCCTGACAAAGCTTAACTCTTTGCTATTATTTCAATTCAGTCTTAAGGCTGAATGTCAATAATGTTATTTTTATTTGTTTATCTTTTGTTGTTGAATTACATGTAAATGTTTTTAGGGGGATAATCAAGGGTTTATTTACAGGGCATGTACAGTACATGGATTTTTCTGCAGAACCAAAAAAACACTTGTGACACTTTTATGTATCCAGGACGAGAGTTTGAAAGGTAAGGACTGAGTTTGAAAGATAGAGTTTGATTGATTACCGACAATTATCATTTTCCCCAGTTTATAACAGGGAGATGATCAGCTACATGCACTATACAGTTTGTTACTTGATCAATAACACCAACAAAATCAGAGGTAACGAAAACGGTTAACCCTTTGATCCCTTAGATTGTCTAATCTGATATTGTGATAATCACCCGTGAATAACAATCCCTGAGTCACAAAAATGTTGTTGATTTTTCATCATCAGAGTCAAAAATGGCCTCCCTTAGCTTATTTACTGCACCCGTGCGAAGAAAACTGAAGTGTGCGCGTAATTCCATCGAACACGAAGATACAAACTTTAGCACCTTTTTATTTCCAGCTTTCACAGACGCAACACTTTTAATAGCCGTGGTTACACACACCTTAGGTTTGGGGCCTTACGGAGCCTTACGGAGGGTAAATGGCTTGGGTTTGGTTATGCTCAGGTTTCATGTTACTCTTGGGGATGCGGTTACACTGTAAAAGACTCCCCTCAGGGTCAAATATAATAAGGTATGAGTTCACAGACCTGACGAATTGGTAGGAAAATAACAGAGCAACAAGGATGTTTCGAATCGAGATCTATTAAGCTAAATTTCAGTGATTCTCCTGCCTATTATACGACAGTCCTCCATAAATTTAACAGTCCAGCAGTTTTTTGCGAGAAGACACAATACAAAAGTTACAGTTATACATGAACAATGCCAGGAAGATATAAAGTCCTTGTTACCAGACTCTACACTGTAAAAAATTGTCTTTTACAGTGAATGGTTTGAAGGAGTAACAATTCGTTGTGTAGTCCGAATGAATCAGCCCTCTAGGGATCCCTTAAAGGGCTGTTATTGGTACTCCACTGTAGTATTGACAGACAATCTCAGCTGGATATATCACCATTCCCTTTTCGCCGATACAAAAACAACATTTGGTACGTTGAAAATTGCACAATGTTCATTTTAAGTTTTCAAAATCTGCGACAAACGGATTTTTCTTGATTGTAATACAGTTGTTACATCTCTTCATCCTCTAGGTTACAGACCTTGCCGGTAAGATTTAACTCTGATTAGCGTTTTCTTTTTCGCTTGCTTAAACAATATCGTGAGATAGTTAATTGAGAAAGCCATACAAAAGTGTATTTTTCTTGAAGAATGCTTCAGGAGCCAGAAACGGGGTGTCCCATGTCCTTAACCCCCTTTCCTGAAATAGAGCTTCCTAAAATTGAATGGGGTTTCCGTTTGGCCTTCTTCGACCAATTTCTAGAAACCACGCCGGTTGCTACTCAATTGGCCGAAGCTTGTATTTCTCGCTAGTTTATTTTGGCAGTTCCTTCGCCGTATCCCGTTACTTCCTGTTGTAATAAAGTTCGGATATAACGTGCGCTGTCATCTAAAACTTCAGATTGCAGATTGTGAACTTTGATGGTTTGCCATTTTGGACAGCTTTAGTCTTACTCAAACAATCAGATTATTTGACCCATTCTAACAAGGAATCTTATTGGCTTATTGTAGCGTGGGATGAAAGTTTGCCTTGAAAATTGAAAGTAATGCGTGGGAAACAAATAGAGAAGCCAAATTGATTTCGTTCTATTCTGTTGTAAAGAAGTGTGGAGAAACGCTCGACTTCGTACGTTTCTCTCCATACTTCTTTCGTGCTCTAGCCGCTTCCTGCGTCCTTTACAAGAGAACAGAGTTCAGTCAAGGCTCTTCTATTTGTTAATTATTTTCGACTACATTAGTCTAACATTGCTCTGGTAGAGAGTCCTCAGAGAAATATGTTTATTACTTGTATGTTAGTCATCATACGTAGTTGTAAACAACTGATCTTGATACTTTTTTAACCGCAACCTACATGGCTGCTGGTTATTTATTTACTTATTTATTTTCCACCACACATTAATTCATTCGTCACGAGAATTGCTTCAGTCTTGAAGATTTTATTTTGCACAAGGTTGAGCAACTAATAATGGAAATGTGAAAAAGCAAGTTTCTGTCTAATGAGGAAGTAAATAAAAGATTAACTCCCTTTATTTAAATCTTTCAAAAATACAATTTTAATTAATTCTTGATCATACGTATAGAGCTATTCAGAAAAAAAAAAACAAGTATTGTAAATAACTTATTTTGATACATTTCAACCGCAACTTACACAGGCTACTGGCTTTTTTTATTTTTTATTTTTTCCAAGAAGGAAACACTTCATGTATCTGTTCTATTCTCAAACATTTAGCAGTCCATTAATGTTTCATTTACTTAACACCAGAACAAAAGAGTGGGCGAGAAACTAAGCGCACTCTTTCCAGGGGAACCCCTTTTTCTTCACCATCGTCAAACCTTACGTACACCAAAGAATCACCTAAAGTGCGACTAACATTACCAGTTCGGTACCACCATTTGTCACGATCACTGAACTGATTGGCTATCACTGGCGAGTTAGGTGATACGTCCCCCATTGATGGCACTTTATCTATGATAAGCAATTCATCAGTCCTTGGATAACTGCGCTTTTTCTTCCCATCATAAACTAATGCGAAGTCTACGCGTGTGGGGGTTATTCCTGTGATCTTAGCTCGGTAGTAGTTGTTTGCACCCATGTTCAAGGCCCAAAATCCCCAAAATATTGCTCCAACCTGGACACATACTGAGGAACAAGAGTTGACAATCAATTAAGAAAACTTAAAGAAAAAATAAAATCGCGTTACTACGAATTTGAGCAAAAACACTCTCTATACAATCTCAGTAACATATTTAACCTGCTCGGGCTATTTACAGGAGCCATGCACCCTGGAACCTTTCTGATAAAAAAAAAACTGATCCAGTAAATTAATCGAGGGGAAAGGTTCTTAAGAAACTGTGATGCTGTGTCTGTGGGGAGTATAAGAAGATAAGATAATTTGGTTTTATCAACTGAGTTGACAATGTAAATTGGCCACCCGAAAGAGTTTCTAAAGCTGGATTTTCGAGCGTTAGCCCTTCGTTAGGCCAATTAACATTGTTAACTCAGTTGATAAAACCGAAGAATCCAATAAATTTTTCTTTCATTTTCTATTTTGCCTCGCTTCAACTGAAACAAATATATCATTCTGAAAAGAGGGTTCAAGTGAGTGGCAGTAGATATGTTAATATGTCGAAATTATCTTTATTATTTATGCCGCGCTTAAACTTACTTTCACACTCTGGAAATTGACCTTCCCATGCACCTCTTCTGCAGGTTGAAAAGGGTGAGCCTCGTACCTCGTAGCCTTTATTGCATTCAAACTTGATCACAGAACCGTCGCTGTAATTTCTTCCAATAACTCTTCCGTTTTTGAGTATTCCTGGCTTGTTGCATAAACCTTTAAAAAAACAGGCATTTGAATAAATACATAAACAATCAAGCAGATTAATGTGTAGGCATAGACGAGCAAAGAACAATAGGTGAGAATCAATGAAAGAAAATTTAGTGGATGAAGGAGTTAAACTAAGTTCTAACACAAACGTAAGGCCGCAATCAAAAAATCAAACGTTATAATCCGGACAAATTATTGGATGAGGCGAAGGACTAATGGAAATTGAATGAAAGCGATACTGTTAAGTATTTACCTAAATGGCGATGGATTATCCCTGTGCTACGTTATCGCTTTACATAGCTTGATGACGCCTAGTTAGGGCGAGTTAGTGTACTCCTTTTAAACTATTTCTTTTTATAAAAAAAGAACACTATGTATCAAGTGGTATGTTGCTCGCACCAATCAGATTCTTGCATTAGGTATGTATCTCGCACTAATCAGATTGCCGCATTAGGAGATCACAGCATTGGGGTATGATTCTGCTTATACCAATGAGAGACACTCCAAAGAATTTTAAGCTCATCTACCCAGTGTACGGGTTCATGTCCTTCGTGAGGACTTTGCCGCTATGATCTGGTGAGGTTAAAAACGTGTTTTGTGTACCGCTCCTTCGCTAACGACGCACACGTCATCAGCTAATAAGAAATTATCGGTAGAGCGTTTGATTTGGAAGGGCTAGTTTTGCTGACTCGGGCAATAAGTATATTTTCATAAAGCATATTTGACCGATAATCTTGTTTTTGCCTTGCGATTGCTCTTTTGGCGAACGTTGAAAATATCGACTGCAATGTGAAATATCTGTTTCTTTGCAACAACCAAATATAGAGCCTACGTTATTATGTAGTACGTATTTATGTTTTGTAGCTGATACAATCACGGAAATAGCGGGGTTGTGCGATTAAGAATCCGTAATTATCTACCGCAATACCAAATAATTGCCAAATACATACCGTTGTCAAGTACTGTACTCACTTTTGCAACTTGGACGAGCTGAATCCCATTTGCCGTCGAGGCATGTCAAGCGAGGATTTCCCACTAAACTGTAGGTCTGATTAGTACATTCATATGTGACTACTTTCCCGTGAGAAAAGTCTCTACCACTTCGGTTTCCACGATCAATATATCCAGGGTCACTACACGATGCTACGGAACAAAACAAAATTGAGGTTTATTTGGAGACCAACCACTATTTCATAATTATAAGATTAATAACGTAGTGTCTATCTCCATTTTGACGCGGTTTCATTATCTGGAAAGAACATACCCTTGCAAGAAGGAAAACTTCCGTTCCACACCCCATCGTTACAATGCAGAGTTGAAGAGCCATCCATGGTGTACGATGGATCACAAGCGTACTTGATGCTGCTACCATGTGAAAAATATTGATCTTTCAGGTAGTATCCGTTTTGCGTGTATCCATTTTTAGGATTGCCAAGAAATTTGCATTTACCTGAAATGAAGGAGATTTTTTTATTTCTTTATTTTAATGATTTCGATGGCTACTCAGGCCTTTTTTTTTAACTCCCAAATTTCTTTAAAAATTGGTAGGGAACAGTTTTTGAGAGCACATTTGCTATATCTTTCGGGTAGTTTCCGTTTGGCGTGTATCCATTTTTAGGACTGCCAAGAAATTTGCATTTACCTGAATTAAGGATGGCTAGTCACACCCAATTATTTAACCTCTCAAATTTCTTTGAAATTGGTGGTGGACGAATCGAAAATACGTTGGGAACAGTTTTTGGGAGCATATTTGCATACAGGTGTAAATACCGCTAAAATGAAGTATGTCTTACGGTAGTTCCGTTCTTATGATATAATTGCTGTTTTTTTTGTTTTTTTTTTTCAGGGAAGCCGCATTAGTTATTAAATCTTAGGCCTTGAGCAAATAACGATGATGAAAAACTGAACCGTTGAGCTTAAAACTATTATCATGATAGAAAAATACCAAAAACGAAAAGGCTAAAACTACTAATAGAAAAACACTTAGTGCTAAAAATAGCATGGATATGAGCTCCTTTCTAAAAACCAATAGCGTCGTGGTCTTTCATCTTATTTTTTTCTGAAAAAGGAAATGAGCGCTTTCTGGTTTCATTTTGAAGACTACTGTAATTTTCCTAGGCTGCTAGCCATGCTGGAACATTTTTTCGCTCAATATTTCTCCAGCATACTGTCAAGCTTTAGCCCTAAAAAATGTCTTTTTCTGCAGATTGTCCCTTCTACTGTACCATTGAAATATTTATTATTTAAAAATGTTTGCCTCAAGTAATGTAAAATTTAGAAAAGGCAAAAAATATCATAACCATAATTATCGAAATGCTGTATCACTGCCCCACAAGTATAAAAATACTCTTGTGTTTAACGCACCTGTCATGCGAAGTACCTAACGAATGATTCATATGGGTATGTTCACCTCTTAAAACATCTCACATTGCATCACATTGCATTACATTAAGTCGTGGTTTGCGTTGCACTTAAAAGTGACTGTACTACCATTCTTGAAATTTTTGCCACGGCGTATGCCGTTAGTTAGATGACCGGGATCTGGACACACGGCTATATTAAATAAGAGAGATAGGGAAAAACAGGGAAGCACATTGGAGATGAAAAAGTAGGACAGAGACATTAATCCTAAGCTATGAAAGAAAAATGTCATTACACTACAACGGTTTCTTTCTATAAACTGGAGTTAAAAAAGAAACATTTCCAAACATTTTCTCACCAACGCATTTCGGGAGATTGTCTCTCCAAGTGCCATCGTTGCACTGAATCCGTCTTTCGCCCTCAAGCTGATAATTTTTATCACAGGAAAACGATACCCAAGAGTTGTGGCGTAAGCCCTGTTGCTGTCTTTTGCCATTAGCAGGTGATCCTGGATCTTTGCATGATGCTAAAAGAACAAGAATTTTAAACCTTGGGTGCTTGTTTGAACCAGTGGTAAATATTTTCAGTTAATCTGTGCATGTATTGGATGTACCGTATAAAGAACAGTCACATGGGTTGCAACAGGAGAATATCAGTCGTTATTTTTTTCTCAGAGGGCGCGGGAACGAATCCTGCGATCTGATTGGTTCTTAGCACGGTCAGTATTTTCCTATCTCTGCTCACGGGCACAGTAACGCTTTCGTGAGTCGCTGAGTATATCACTACCTTCGTTACCATCTTTCATAAAGACATCTCATTTAAATAACTTATTAATCCTCTCTTTTCTCCCCCTCAAATCACTTTGGTTGACTGAAAAACATTGGTTTCGAAATAGATTTGTATAAGCTAAAGTGTCATTAAATTGATTGACAAGCGGCCTAATAATCGTCTAAAATAAATGTCAGTCCTTAACAAAAAGTACTTAGAAAGTTAAAACGTGAGGTATTTGGTTACAATTGAATTAATCGATGGAACTTTCATTCATTTAATATCTGAATTCTCTCAAACAGTTTGTTCGCAGTAAAAGGGTCAGCAAAGTTTTCAGTTTTCAAATGCGCTTTCGGTGGGTCTTTCCAAGTCCGTTCAATTGGGATATTTGTATGGTAAATTGCACCACAGAAACCGAAGGAATTCAATGAGAAAAAGCTGCATCAAATCCCCTTGTGTCTCATTCGAATTTAGCTTTTGTGGAGGAAAGACCAGATTTACACACGCTATTGCAGCAAACAAACGAGCAAACTCTAACAACTTCAAACTAAAAAAATTTGAATTTACTTACAATTGATTTCCTTACCATTTACTTACTGAGAAGAGGTTAATCTCCATACATACATTTATCGTCGATGAGAGTGAATAATACATTCCGTAAGATCATTGACTGTTTTTGAAGAAAACATTGTCCTGACCGTCCTTACCAAACTAGTTCCGTTGTTTTTCTAAGTGTACATATGCTTTTTTTTTTTTATTGTGACATATACTTGAACAAATTATATTTAAAAGTTTGACTGGAAGCCTTTTAGATCACCTTTATCATTACGCAAATGAAAATGTTTCAGTGAAGCCTCTCTCTTTAATTTGCATCACCTCTATTTTAGCTACCATATACTCGCTCATAAATTGTTCAGTTTATGGAAGATCTTACAATTCTTAATAATTACATCCCTAAATCATTTAGGTTCTTTTGGAAAGAGTTTCGTTGAGTTTAAGGGAAAAAATAAAAATGTTATTCACCAGCCTAGGTCGGTCCGTATTGGGAAAAACTGCGCCCTCAGGGGGCACAGTTTTTCCCAATATCGACCTCTTGGCTGGCGAATAACAGATATATATATATTCTCTTGGTTACGTTTTTCTCATAGATGAACAAGTGTTTTTGCTCCAATTTCTGAGCTTTTTTACAATGATATCTGCCCCGTCTGTGCTCCCGTAGCAATGGGTATTCGAAGGCTGCTATTTGCCAAATGTGTAGCTACCAACGATGATTTTCCTCCTTCTGCTCCTGTACTAACGGGTATTCGGAGGCTTCTAATTGTTAAATGTGTAACTATTAACAACGATTTTTCTTCTGACTAACCTCTGCACACTGGTGGGTTAGGGTTCCACCTTCCATCGTCGCACGTCAATGTGCTTCGCCCCTCAAGGGCATAATTGCCATCGCATCGATAGCTAACAGTTTTTCCATGGCCAAAATCTCTACCAGATACTCGTCCGTTGCGTATACTCCGGGGACGCACACATGAAGCTACAGTAGTCAGCCAAATGAAAGACATATGAAGAGATCAATATCATTTTCACTGGTCGGTGACAGGTTAGAGGTTCCTTATCATCAGTTGACTCATGTCATGTTTCATGTGTATAATGGGAACAAATCCTTTATGCATGTGATTCAGAGAGATGGGTAGCTCAACTAAGGGATGGGTCACATATGCAATCTTTATACACCTTATTGGTTCCTGCTTCAAATATGTTGGAGAATAGACGCACAGATAACGTCACCATCAGCAACGATTTACATTTTTTATCATTAAAAAGAACAAAAAAGATTCCATGCTGCCGTGGGTCTGTATAGTAATAGATCACAGAAAACGTCAAAATGTAGTAGAACATGAGTGACAGCATCGTTTATCTGTTATGTTTATAAGTTTTGCCATTTTGCAACTTTCCCAAAGATTTCCTTAAAACATCGTTGGCATTTTAGAAAGTAAGCATTCTGTTGCAACAGGAACTTTTAAGTGTTTTGTAGCTAACAAAGTCTCTTAAGTGCTCACCGAATTTTTGTTGTTAGATAAATCGTCACAGACCTTTGCATTTAGGAACATCATTTGTCCATCGACCATTGTCACATTCCTGAGTACTACTTCCCTCCATGGTGTAAGAGGCGAAGCAGTCGTAAGTGATCTTTTCGCCATGCTTAATCATTTCTCCTATAACCAGTGGGCCTTTAATAACATAACCGTCACGAGGTTTTCTCGAAAATCTGCAACGAGCTGCAAATAAGAAGTCAAAACAATGTGAATGTTCGTCTCTAGCTACAAACTAAATACACTTTTTGAGATAAAATGTTAGTGATGTGTGGGGAAGATGTCTTATTATTAGAAACTTAGACCTGATGGTTATTATAGATTGCCTTTTTAAGGTTGAAACAAAGAATCTTTGGGGTTTGCGTCTTTTTCATGGATGAGGTGAGAGTGGAGTAATATCGTTTTAAATACAATATATTTTTTTGTATGTTCTAAAAAATGCACAAAAAAAATTCTAAATTCTTAACCAGTTTAACGGGTGCCTTGACCTGTTCCTTACCTTAAGCTATTAAACGTGGGATTTAACATCATGCGAACCATTTTTTTTAGTAAGTCTCTCTGATGAATCATGAATGCTTAACTATAAGTTCACGAATGCCATGCAGCATCAAAGGAGGATGGATTAACATGCCAAAAACGTTAAATATACAGATGTAAGCAAGTAATCTTTTAAGAATGAAGACATACTATTGTGCACTGGAGGACTTCTCTGTAAATCGTGACAGTAGTTGGAATACAGTAAAAACTATAGCTGAAATAGCTACTTTAAAGTTAGTAAAGAATGTGTTTACTCATAAATGATTTTATAGGGATACTTAGTGCGGTTTCTTCTTTACCAAAATATATTGTCTGATGGATCAAAGTAAGAATCCCTTCTCCAATGCCGGAAGTTAACGTAGCAACCCTTCATCCATTGTGAATAGGCCTGAGAGCAGTTGCATACTGATTTTGATTCAAGGTTTGTCGTCCTACGGACGGTGGCGCAGGTGCCACGAGTTTCCCCTATTTGATATCGATGTGTTCATTAAAAAAAAAAAAACGTTTGTGGCTTGTTAAGAAAGTGAATCAAAACTTACCGCGGTACCTATTTAATCCAACATGTGACTCGTGAAGGACTCGTATTTCTCGTTTCAGTTAACTATTTAAAGTACATAAAATATTGAATTTGTTTGAGGGATGCCATCAGAATGCTTCCTTGAAGATCCGTTAAAGCGTCTTGATTTGTTTAATTTGAGGTAGTTACACGATGAACCCCTTTAGAATAAAAAAAAATCCTCCCCAAAGGGGGTGTTCTCCTTCCAGAATTTTATAGTTGCTGATTTAGGCTTTCAATATTTCCCGTCATTATTTTCTGGGTTGGGTGTTTAGGAAAGGGCGAGAAAGTAGGTCTGTGTAGTAATGTCATGAAGTAACTCTAACCTCCCTGTTTACGCTTCGCCGCTTATATTACAGATCTATAACATTTTCGCCACTGCAAGTAAATGTCGCGAGAACAATAGGCATTCTGCCCAATGCATTGCGGAAAAGCAGCACTCCATTGTTTGTTCCTTCGGTTTAGTTTAAATAACGTAACTCGTTTAGAGACGTTCAACTTTTTCTTTTATTTGCGCTAGAGGGTTTTTCCACGTCGATTCCTCCCAGGTGGAGACCGTGAAAGTTTGCTTTTTTATTTTATTTTTCTTACTTCTAGACCAATGGAAATTACACGTATGAGACATACCTTTACACGAAGGAATACTGCTGCTCCATTCTCCATTTATGCAGCTCAATCTTGAGGATCCGAATAACGTATAATTTGCATGGCACTTTATTTCCACTTCACCACCACCCTTCCGTGTTACATGTGTGATGACTCCGTTCCTTACTGGTCCAAGGATGGGACAGGAGGCTATAAAAGTGACGGTGTAACAAAGGTTTACTTATTTTTTTTCTACATATATTTATGATATAAACGTCATGTTTTTAAGAAAATATACTCATTTACCATGACGAGCCTGATGAGAGCAAAATATTTCCCGTTCGGACCGACTTAACTAAGACAATAAGTATTTTATTATATGACCGCCTAGTCCTCATTTGTTGAAATCAACTTTTAACCTAAGACTCGATTACATAGATAAGAAGGAGTGTACTTTGGAGGAGCGCTAGAGCCTTTTTTGTTGATGTAAGTGAAAAATCTGTCAACAGTTCAAAAATTTCGCCAATATTTAAAGTAACCGATATCTTGCCTCGGAAGCTTCCAAATCTTTTTGAAACTGATAATCAAACTTTTTACCCATGAAGCTGTTATGTTATGTTTGGATACAATTTCAGCGGGATAAAATACTTTGGTCCGCCGCTAGTCCAGTTTGGCGCACGCGATTGCAGGACTAAACAATTTTTTTCCTGGTCCATATGACCCGTTTTCTTTCGTGAGAGACGAAGAGCTTGAGGGTCGCTGTTATTTACATTTCTTTGACTCGTTGTATGGGTGCAATCACTTCAACGAGAAATACCCCGTCCATCGCAGGTATCGAAGCCAGCGCAAAAACCGCAAGTGGCAACCAACGCAGGTGGTGAAAAGATCGATTCTTGCGTAATAATTCGGTTGAGGTGTTTTTCGTTTCTTTTAATAGCGATATGGGTTTGTGGTTGATGTTTGTGGTAATCAGTGGTGGTGGTCAAACGATGTAACTTTGATGTGACCGCATTGGAGAAAACATACCGATGCACCTGAATTCTCTTTTCAGCCACGTGGTATAGTTACACACCATAATCGGCGATCCCGTCAAAAGATGACCTTCATGACAGGCCAGATAAATAGTTGTACCGTGTGTGTATCTCACTTGATTCGTTCGTGGATATATGATACGTGAATTTCTTGGAATGGAGGGTTTTACACACTGCATAACTAGAAAAAACAAAGAGCAATGTCAATTTAAAACTTAGAACCTACCTTTATGACTGAGTAATCTAGCCAGGTATTATATTTGTCCCCTTTTATGTAAGTTAGCATTGAGAAGCTATATCAAACATTCGAAAGGGTGTTTCATCCGATATCCAAACACCTTGAAGTTGGTTAAAAAAAACTCGGCTGCGCCTCGTTTTCTCAACCACTTCTCGGTGTTTGGATATCGGATGGAACACTCTTCCTCGTGTTTGATATATTACTTTCATATATATATATATATATATATATATATATATATATTTATTTATATCATTTTAAATTGGAGTCGTTTTTGAAAACATACATATATATATATATATATATATATATATATATATATATATATATTAGAGTCTAATTTTTGTTTTTTGTTTTTTTTGTTTGCGATTTTAATTATTTATGATGTGATAAAATACAAGTAGACAGAACCATTATAAGTGTAGCAACCAAAACTCATGCTTTTATCCTAATTATCTATTTTAAAAAAAATGGTTAAGATTCTGCCGATAACCATTTTCTCCAGGTAAAAATTTATAAATGAAAGATTCGTTTTGAGCCAACTCTATTCGTGTTCCGTACTTCATCAAGTATGCGCACGGGCGCTTATCTAAAATCTTGGCTAAGGGGAGGGCAGGTAATGCGAATAAAGGAACTCTGCGAGCATATTGAGAAATAAATAACTCATAGTGACATAACTGAATGGAAAGTATTCTCCTGTACTGATTCCGCTGTAGTTCTCGGTCTTCGCAGTACACATAGTGGCAACAAATATAAAACAGGTAAATAGAACCAAAATAAAACTGGGCGAAGTTCCTGCAGTTTTGTGACAAACCCATTCATATTATAAAAATATGCTGCGCACAATTTATTAGCTACGATATATTCGCAAAACTCTTTCCTGGGATGTCGAGGAATTAGTTACCTTTACATTGCGGGACAGAAGAATTCCATCTTCCGTTAATACAACGAAGGCTACGATCTCCACCCAACTCATAACCATGTTTGCATTTGAAAGAAACCACTTGACCATGGGAGAAGCGTGTGCCAAACACGTGTCCATTTGGCAGATCCCTAATCTTCGTGCAGTAAGCTGAGAAATAAACATTGAACAATGATTTACGACATGAACATCAAACTTGTGCGGTCCTCAGATGCAAATGACGCAACGGAAGGGTAACAAGAACCGGAAAGTTTAGTGCTGAAGATTAGGATGAAGCCATTTATAAAAAGGTCAGTTGGTCTAGGAAAATAACTCCGAGACAGCTTACCTTTACAAGTTGGAACACGTGAACTCCAAACGCCCTTGTTGCATGTTAATGTTGAAGCCCCAAATAGATCAAAGCCTGTAAAACAAGTGAATTTTGCTTCTGCACTATGGCTGTTGTCACTACCATGTAGTGTACCGTTAGCTGGACTTTGCAGACGAACACACGACGGCAACTCTGCAGAAGAAAAATCGATTTATTCCAAGTGAATTTTGCGCATATTTAATTGATCTCTGAACATCTTCGCGTTAAATGATGAAAAAGAGCAAAAACGTTGCTTTGCAAGCAGTTTTAATCAGTTTTATGTCAAATAGTTGTCAATTTTTTAACGCAATTTTAATGCAAGTTAATTAGTTTTACGATCTTTTCGATAACTTACTATGACAATAGGGTAACTTTCCATTCCATCGTCCATCTATGCATTCCAACCTCGTCCTACCGATCAGCTGGAAACTGTTATTATCACAGCGAAATCCTATGGCAGCCTTGCCAACTTGTGGGGTCACATGAGATACTTTACCATTTAAAATGTTACGCAACTCCGGACAAAACCCTGAATGAAGCAATAGAATTTTTAGGTGGAGGAATGAAATAATGCTTCTGATTACTATCTTGTGTTGCGTATAAAGCATTATATCTTTTCACTATTACACAAGTGGTGATAGATGACCACCGATAGGAACCAAACCTCTTTCATCGTCATTTTGCAACTCTCTTTGTCTCTGTAGTGATTATCTATGACATTTCTAGAAAGCTGCACCTTGGAATTGAAAAGTTTGACATGCAAACATTAATTTTTTGCATGAATCACCGAATGTTATTGTCAAATGCAGAACCACTAAACAGTGCCGATCTTAAGTTATGGAACGTTTTGTTTTATTCTAAAGAGAATTTAATTGCGTCATACCCAGACATCGGAATTGTGTCTGTGTCCATTTGTTCCCATTGCATGTTATAATTGGCATTCCATCCAGATAAAAACCCTGTTTACAGCCAAAGAGAATAACTTGGCCGTTTTGGTACTTTTCTCGCTGAGTGGGATGAATGATGACTGAGCCATGAGGAGAGGTTGGTTGATCGCACGTCGAGCCTTAAAAGAAATTGACAGCTGACGTCAAGATTTCGAGACGAACGGTGAATTGATGTCACAATGTATAATTCCTTTACAACAAATGACCTGGGTTAAGAAACAAATAGTTTTCGCCTAATAATGGTAAATTATTTGCAAAGAAAGGCTAATTTAGTGACCCTGTCACGTTTAACGTTAAGTCCTAATGTTTCTTAAACACTCTTAGAAATCATGATCCCTGTTTCCGGATTTGTTGAGCATGCACTTTTCCATACGTGTCAATAAATCTCTTTTAATTATCTTGTTTAAATTGGATGAGTTAGGTATCAAATGGCTCAATCGGAACAGACAGAGCCTGAGACAGAGCTGCCCTTAAGAACCTGGCTAATTAGCTTTAAGACCAAGCGCTATAGTGGCGAACGTTTTTTTGGCGATTTGTGCTGACCCTTATACCCATTCCATGGTCACAGACCTATCCTTTACTTGTCATGAGCAATTGTGAATAGTCTTGTTTCATTTTTCGGAAATTAGGCAGATTTTTAGAGATAGAGGTGGCGATGCGGAAAAAATTAAGCATTTCTGTCTTTTAAATCACGGAATGCTGAATAAAAACAAATGGCAACCTCTTTTGCTTAATTTGAGAGTGACGTGTTGCTTATTTTCTGGCTTCAGCGCCAAAGGAAGCTTACTACTCGTAGCATGAGGTAAAGATCTCTTTTCCTCAATGACATGTCAGACACGGATCCGTGCGTCATCAAAATTTGTAATTGATAATTTTGTAAACTTTTAAAGTGATTTGAGTATCTTACTTTTCGTACTCACCAGATGTGACAATCACCAGCGAGAGAATGTTCAAGACAAAAACTAACAGTGTACAGTTCATTTCGTCAAGGAAAACCCTGAAAACCCCTTTCCACTGGGTTGCTCAAGAATAAGGATATGTAGATGCACGTTTCCTTTTTCAGTGTCATATACTTAAAATTAACTGAGCTGTTATGAAATATAAGTTCACGTTTGCCAAAGGAGCGGCGTCTCCAGCAGAGTAAAGTGGCACGCGCCCTTGCATATTAGAATTTTTACAATTTTTAGATGAAACCAATGCTGAAAACTGACGCATGACATCCTCTTTCGTTTAGAGAGAACGAGGTTGTTTATCTTCCAGCTTGAGTGTTAAGGGAAGCCTATTGAGCATAACATGTATGAGAGGTTACTTTGGTTCAGATATGTGCATAATCGAGAACTAAGTTGTCGCTCGTACCCGCTTTGTCAAAAGCTGATATGATGCAGTCGATATTATTTTTCGCACTCACCATATGTGACCATCACGAACGAGAATATAAAGGACGCTGAAACCAATCCCACGCGTTTCATGAGGAAGCCCGTAAAATCTAACCTTCTTACTGAAATAGGTTGCTCAAATTAAGATAGGGTGTGGAAAAAACACGTCAGCAGCCTTTTAAATGCAATGCACTTCAACTTCCTTTAGTACTGTAATTTAACATAAGAATATTAATGTTGAAGGGGCAGCATCTCCAGCAGCGTTCGGTGTCACGAATCTTTACCATTTGGCTTGTATTAATTTGACTGATTTGCATCGAAAAGCAAATTAGTCTCCTACATTGTGTAAACAAACAAGCGATTCAGTGAAGTAGCCACTTCCTGCATTTCCACCCGTAAATGATAAGATAAAACGACTTCTCTTTACGGACAGCTAACAAGATACCAACTGGTTAATTAAGCTTCCCAGCTTTCCTTTTAATTTCTTGTCCGATTTCGTTGTTAAATTAAAACATGATGTAGTATGTTTTGAACTTAAATAATTGATTTTGGAATGAGCTTACTGAACAATTAAATTTCCTGATTTTGACATACTCGAGGAAAAAATGTCTACTTAAAATCATGTGAGGGTAATTGAGTGAGAATGGGTAAATCTTTTTCATTTCTTCATTTTGGTTGTCGTGTCATTCAAGAACTTGGCGACTGAGCCTAAACATCGAGGAGGTTAATTGTTTTTGACAGTTTCTGCTGACCCTTATGCCAATTCCATGGTTGAAGCCCTGTCACTTTCTTTTCGTGATCAAATGTCGATATTATTGGTTTTCTTTGCAGAAATCAGGCATATTATTCGAAGTGACAGCGATGATACGAAAAAAGCATTTTTTGTGTCACAATTTTACCTTTTTCATGAAATAATTACGGATGAAACAAGGCAAGCTCTTTAGAGTACCGTGTTGTTTATTTTCCGGACTCTGCGCAAAAGATTGCTCTTAGCATGCGGTAAAGATTACTTTCCTCACTGAGATTTGAGTAACGGATTCGAAGCTGTGGGGTTTTTTTTTCCGTTTAATGTATCAATGATAACTTTGTTAACGTTCAATGTGATATAGGTATGTTACAGTTCTTACTCAACATATGTGACGACCACGAGCGAGATAAAGTTTAAAACAGACGCTAACAATGCACGGTTCATTTCGTTGAGGAATACCCTAAAACCACTGGTTTGAAACCACTGGTTTGATCAAGAATAGGCCCAGGGATGTGTAAAGGCGCATTACTTTTTACTGTGTGACAAACTTATACTAATTACGCTGTATCAACATCACTTTCAATTTGCCAAAGGAGCAGTGCCTCCGGCAGAGTTCAGTGGCACATGCCTTTGCATATTAAACTAATACTTTAAGAAAAAAAAGATGCTGAAAGATGACGCATGACATATTCTTTCGTTTGGGGAGTACCGCGTTATTTATCTTCCAGCTTCAGCGCTGAGGGAAGTTTATTGAGCATAACATGTATGAGAGGTTACTTTTCTTCAGATATGTGCTTTTAAAATCGAGAACTTATTACTTGCACTTTGTCAAAACTTGGTATATGTTGATATTATTTTTCGTACTCACCATATGTGACGCTCAGAAACGAGAATATAAAGGACGCTGAAACCAACCTTACAGATAAGGATGATAAAAGAGACATTTTTTTCAGTTTATGTGCAATGCTATTTATCATACTTTAGGATAATTATCTGTTGTTGTAATCATGTGGACTTACTTTCAACTGACATTGTTTTAGAACGTTACTCAGTAATATTATATTAATAGTCTCCACTTTCTTAGTTTGGAGCTCGCGTCATCAAGGAAACGTTGGCAGGCGATCGTGTGCGACTGCAGTGATGAAGTAAGTGACTTCCCCTTGTAAAATAGCCGCTTTTGTTCTCTTTAGCACTCATTGAGATCATTTTAAG